CAACAGTTGAGTCAGCATGTTCATTCTCCTAAGGAGGTTCATTGGCAGGCAGCCCTTCATGTGGTCAAGTATCTGAAAGGCACGCCTTCTTTAGGTTTGTTTTACTCCTCTGTTAATGATCTTAAGCTCACTGCTTTTTCGGATGCTGATTGGGGCCAGTGTCCTCACAGTCGTTTTTCTTTAACCGGCTTCCGTGTTTTCCTGGGAAATTTCCTCATCTCATGGAAAACTAAGAAGCAAACCACCGTTTCCCGTTCTTCCTGTGAAGCTGAGTACCGCAGCATGGCAGCAACCGTGTGTGAGCTTCAATGGCTATCTTACCTCCTGACCGATCTTCACACTGCCCCTTCTCTTCCCATCACTCTTTGCTGTGATAATCAATCTGCCCTTCACATTGCTGCCAATCTCACCTTTTATGAGTGCACCAAGCACCTTGATATTGATTGTCATGTTGTACGCAATCAATACAAGCGTGGCTTCCTTGACCTTAAACACATTGGTACCAAGTCACAACTGGCTGACTTGTTTACTAAAGTTCTCTGCACTCCACAGTTCACCTACCTTTTGTCCAAGCTGAGCCTTGCTGACTTGCATAATCCACAGCCTCAGCTTGAGGGGGGGATCTACGAGATTCAGAAGGACCTGCAAAATATACAATTGGATGATCCACCTCAGCAGCACCATCTTCCAGAAACTTCAACAGAAGAGGTTGATGTTGATCACATGGTAATGCAGCATGTGCTTCAATTGTTGTAGTGTAAATATGTTGGTGTAAATAGCTTGTACATATGTGATGTGGAATTAGCTTAGACTTTTGTGTAAATAATTCCAGCTGGATATTAGTGTAAATAAGGCAGTTTAAGATTAGTATTAGTTAGTATAAATACTAGTCTTTAATGAATTCTGTAATTTAATGAAATACAGAAAATAAAACCGTTTTTCCCCAAATTGAGAAATTCTCTCTCTTCATCATTCTTCTTTGTTCCGCCATGACTAACCCTAGGAAGCTTTTCAAATGGGAGATGAGATTAAAGAAAATATGTGAGAAAAAAAATAAATGCATGTAATCTAAAGCAAAACCATGTCCTTTTTGAGGAACCAAAAGGAACGAACCAGAAGCTCTTAGATATTGATCAAACTTATAAGCATGCAAACTGAAGCAGGAGTTGTCCTATTCTCAAACATTTGCTGCATGCTATCAACCTATCAAAACAGTGCGTGGAAGTTAAACTTAATAAAAAATAAAAAAAAAACCCAAATAAAAAGCTTATAAGGCACCGGTAATCGACTTAAAGAAATTCTAGTATGTTTCACTATTATAAAAGGGCAGGCTACGAAGTTAGTCTAACGAAGGAAAAAGGTAGAAGGAAATTATAAGCTTAGAAAATTTATATCTGTATCTTAGAAACAAAAATCACACTTTAAGAGAAAGTACCACCATGTCATGTGGCATTTTTACATCATATTTTTAAAATAAATTTTTATTTTCATATCTCCTAGACTTAAAAGGTAAATGCAGTCCAAATCCACCTCCACCTCCTATTTTCGCCCAAAAAAAACTATAGGTTCATAAAAAACCCAAATCTTCATCCCCATCTCTACCACAATAGACTTCCTAATCAATCTCTTCTCCACAATAAAAAAAAAAAATTACTCATCAATCATCAATTAAGAATATGTGGTGAAATATACTCCATTCTAATTAGCATGTTCAATCTTTTCATTAGTGATGATCAACTACATCCTAATCGGATAAAATTTCGACTTTAAAAAATATTCTCTTTACCTCTCTATATAAATACAAAGGAAAAAAAAATTCTCATTGATCTTGCTTCAGCCGTTGTGGTGGTGCAATTACAGGTATTAAAATTTAAATGATTATTTCCACACATAATTTGTTTGACTTTTATTATTTTTTATTTTTTCCGTTCAAGAATAGTGTTATTACTATTATTTTTATGCGTCCATCCGTTACAGTTACCGTAGCCGTTGTCAGATAATATGATGTGATTTCTTATATGGTTAGTTAGCCTAGAATTTTTGTATGATTTTAGTTCTGTTTGGATTGAATTCATTAATTGGGTTTTTGTTCGAAAATATGATTTTTTAAATTTCTTTTTTATATTTCATTCAATTAGAGTGATTTTCTTTTTTTAATTATGGAGTCTCGGTTTTTTTTTTCGTATATGGTCAGTTATGAAGTGTGTTTTTTCTTTGTTTAATTGCTTTTGATTTTGTTTCATACTCCTAGTTGACCAATTATTATTATTATTATTATTATTATTATTATTATTATTATTATTATTATTATTATTATTTTATTTGCAAATGAAGCGCGTTTTTTTTTTGTGTTCGGGCTTTCAAGAATATACTTTTTTGGATTTGATTTTTGGACTTTTTTTAGTTCCTCATCATATAAATAGTTCAGGTCGCTTCTTCTAATTAATTTATGGGGAAGCGTTTTATGAATTTCAGGCGGAGAGAGAAGGAATGATGTTTCTACGTTTATTTGTGTTTTTATACAAATAAATTTCTCAATTTTTAATGGGCTATCTTTTAATTTCTTTTTTTTTTTCTTTATTTGTCATGGTGAGGTGAGTTCTTTTTTGCTATAACTTGAAACCTATGCAAATTTACATTATTTTCATTCTCATATTTGTGATCAACCAGTTTCAACAATTAAGCAGTTTCGAAATCATATTTTTGATTTTTTACTACCTATAAACTTTTGGAAGAAATAGTTCCAACAATTAAGCGTATACCCTTAGGAGGAAGCTTACTACAAAACTATTATAAATCTCCAAAACTAAGTATTGATTTGGCACAACCAATGGAGAACATAAATAAATTATCTTACTAATATTTAAACTTATTGGCATGGTTTCATATTTTGTCTAGCATTTACTTCAAGACATATATTTGATCAAATTTATTTATACTTAAGAAGTAATACTTATAAAACATTTCTAAAATCTTCAAACATTTGTAAAATGTATTGGACCAAATACAATTTCTTTTTTATGCCAAATACAAACATTTTTATGATCACAGTTATAAAATATTTCTAAATTCTTCAAAAGTTTCTAAAATATATCGGGCCAAATACAAAATATTTTTACTAAATACAAACATTTCTAAGATCTGCAGATATATTGGGCCAGGGTCGCACGTTGCGCGACCAGACATCACTAGTCTATATATAATAAATAATAAAGAAAGAGAAACGCGAAGAATCGAAGGGGGAAATTTAGCGGTCAAGTTCAGCGTTGCCGTAAACGTTTGCTGCATCAGTAGGTAATTAAGCTCTTCTCTGGCGCATGATGAGTGATCCTGTTTAATTGTTGATATTAGTTTGGAAATAAAGCAATAACTTTTGAGAATGTTAAGTCGATGTTTAGAATTTTTATTAAAAGTAAATAAAAGTATTGCGCCTTGGGCGAGAGCCCGGCGGACGACTCAACTTGTAGTTAAGTATGACATATGAAAGTAAATAAATGAATTGGGTTGTTACAAATTTTATCACTATTTAGACATGATAAAATATATGTGATTTACTTGTATATTTTTTGTTATGTACATTATGTTATTTTTTTTTAGGTACATATTAATTTATTAAGTGGGATGTCTTCGAGCATTTGTCGGGTTAATTTGTAGATCAAGTTCAGAGAATCACTCCGTGTTAGAAAATCAACAAGGGCAGGATTTTTTTTATTATTTTTTTTGTATTACATACTCTGACAAAGTAAAAAAAAAAACCTCCAACCTCAGTTGTATGTATAACATCCTACTTTCACTCCCATGTTTGTTTGATACCGCTCCATCAAAGTAGACCTTGTAACCCAGTGAGCGGAGGTGATAGGGGATAACCATATTTTTTTTGCTCGAGATGAAGAAATCAATTTGATTTGCCTGTTAAAAATTCATTCCACACTACGCCTGCTTAATCCACCAATGCAATGACATCCATCAACAACCGCCAAACATTTTACTCCGTGCAATCAACACTTATATATCATAGATCGTTAGATGAATTTTGAATTAAATTCTTAGATTTTTTAAATAATCATGTAAGATATACGCGTAATAGACAAAACTCCCAACCTTTGGAAGAGATGGATTAGGTACATTACTCATTGCTTCTCTACTCAATCAATGTCAGCACAATGTACGGCGAATATAATAAAATTATTAATACCTTTTGACTTTTAAATGGGAGATATAGTTTATTTACGAACTCAGAAATTGTAATACCATCTTTAATCATAAACCACAAAAACATAAGAGAGAGTTATACATACTCACAAATGAAATTTATGAATATAAACCGAGATCACTCCAAAACAAAAACAAAAAAAAAAAAAATTGTATATGAGGGTCTGAATAAAAGTCATAAGCGATCATAAATTTACCATTGTGGATGTCCTAACCTCTATGACGATACTCTTGTTAAGAGTAATGTAATTGTTAGAAAACGGATTATATTATTTTAATACAGGCCATAATGTATATTGTTAGGCCATAATGCAACCAAATTGTATAAACTAAGACTATATATTATTTTTTCCGGTGAACTACTAAGACTAGTCTTTCGTTTGATGTTAACAAAAAAAATCATCAGTCCGAAATGTATTCTTTTGTCTAGACTTTTGAACCAAATTGAAGGACCTAATTTTCCCAAGCTCTCCTTTACTATGAAACTAATTTTCTTTTTTATTATTGATCTCGAGACACATGCCGTAGTGTATATTAGTCGCAAATTCGCTAACAAACAAAGCGTACGAATTAAACAATTCCAAGGACCAAAAAATAAACTAATCCCAAAATTTTCATCAATATTCCGCTCCTCAGTCTCAGTCCCCAACTGTTTTTAGTAGGGCTCAACTCTACTCTCTCCTTTGTGTTTACATAGTAGTAGGATTCTCTCTGTTTGGGAAAATCCTTCATTTGGTTTTGCTCGATTTGGAGTTTCTTGCCCCCACAAAAAGAAAGGGAAAAAAAAAATGCTGAGCTTGAATCTTCTTCCGTCCTCAAATGTCGCTTTCTGCAAATCCAAAAGTCGATGTTCCATTAATGATTCACTTTTGGATCCAAATCCTGGGAACAGAAGGAATCAATTCCATTTAGATACACCCAACTCTCTACCCTTTTTAAAAATCTCTGCTTTCAGCCGAATCCATGGCATCCCTGCGAGGATTTCCTGTTCGAGATTGGATTCTCTGGGTTGTGCTGGAAACCCGTTTGTGGTTTCTTCAAGAAGGGCATCTCAGGTTGCGAAATCGGTGCCTGGGACCCCAGAAGAATCGAGCCCAGATGGTGGAATAGAAGCAGCGAAACCGGACAAGAAATTTCAGCTGGCTGTTATCTTTGGTCTCTGGTATTTTCAGAACATTGTGTTCAACATTTACAACAAGAAGGTTCTGAACATTTTCCCATTCCCATGGCTTCTTGCATCTTTCCAGCTGTTATGTGGGTCGATTTGGATGTTTATTCTCTGGTCTACAAAGCTTCAACCCTGCCCAAAGATATCTAAATCATTCATCATTGCTCTTCTTGGCCCTGCGCTGTTTCACACAATAGGTCACATTTCAGCATGCGTTTCATTCTCCAAGGTGGCTGTTTCTTTCACGCATGTTATTAAATCTGCAGAACCTGTGTTCTCTGTGATTTTTTCGTCATTTCTTGGTGATACATATCCTCTGAATGTTTGGCTGTCTATAGTTCCCATTGTGTTTGGTTGCTCTCTGGCTGCTATTACTGAAGTGTCATTCAATTTTGGAGGTTTATGGGGTGCCATGATAAGCAATGTAGGGTTTGTGTTGAGGAACATTTATTCCAAAAAGAGTTTGCAGGATTGGAAGGAAGTGGATGGACTGAATTTGTATGGGTGGATTAGTATAATCTCATTCTTATATCTGTTTCCGGTGGCTATCTTTGTTGAGGGCTCTCAATGGGTTGCAGGGTATCATAAAGCTATTGAAACCATTGGAAAACCCTATACCTTTTACTTTTGGGTGATTCTATCTGGATTGTTTTACCATCTTTATAATCAGTCATCTTATCAAGCACTGGATGATATTAGCCCCCTTACATTCTCTGTGGGAAACACAATGAAGAGGGTGGTAGTCATTGTTGCTACAGTGTTGGTTTTCAGAAATCCAGTGAGGCCGCTTAATGCACTTGGTTCTGCTATTGCGATATTTGGGACTTTCCTGTATTCACAAGCTACTGCTAAAAAGCCTAAGAAAGAAGCCTAAGAAAATGCCGATGATCAGTAGAATTAAAGACAGAGCATAGATGGTTGTTTGCTGGTTTTTTCTTCCTCTTTTTAGAATAAGTTAGGTTCTGGTTTTCTTTTTTCAAGCAAAATTTTTGTGAATGACTCCAATTAGGTTTAAATATCTCTTTTGGTTATTTTCAGTGGCCTTAGTTTGTTTGTGGTTTTGAGTGTTTAAACCTGCTTTGGAAACATCATATTGTGGATTCCTATATGTTGCTTTTGGATTTGTGTTATGTAAGCTGAAATTGGCTTGCTGAAAACAGTTTTATCACTAATTCGTCTGATTACTCGGCTGTGTATCACATCTACCATATCCATCTAGTCTTACTAGACTGGCAGGAAAGAATGACCTGATTATATGATTATGTCTTCCTTTTTGATATTTTGATTTGTAACTTAGGTTTTCGATTGATTCGAAAAGTTCTAGTTTGTTTAGGAAAATGAAAGGAGCACTGGTTTTACACAGGAAGTTTTGATGGATACACCCTTTTTTAGCTGCATAGTTCAAACCTCCCTTATTGTGTAGTTTTCTACTTTTACTCACCATGTCTTGTAATTAGTCTTTCCTATGATACCATCATTCAAGTTTAGAAGCGGCGCTATTACTCTTGGGAAGTACTTTTTAAGATTAAACTACCGATGGTTTTGCATTGTTAACACATGCCGAACACCTTTTCTTCTTCCCTGTTTCTGTGCGACTGTTATAGAGTATATTGGGTTGAAATGTAGAGCTTGAGCTTTGAGAGACGGACTTTTGTAGTGGCCTGCATGACAAGAAATTCATCCAGGTTTTTTGTTCTTATATAGGTTCTGTTAAGTTGCATTATGGAGTGAAGCTCCATTGCTGATTTAACATTTAGGGCAGATTCACTCTAACAGCAACCGATCCTCCCGCCATTCAAAAAGTGGAGCCTTGTTTGTTGTACTAAAAAAGTTCACCAGACTGTTCTCTTAGGAAGGAGTTTGTGGTTTTCTTTCTGAATCTGAGGTCTCTACGTTGGCCTAAGGTTTCAATGGGTTCATCTTTGCAAGACAAACTGTTCCCCTATTATATGTTATATATTCGTGGAGAATTGATCTGGGAATACTGGTTCTTCAGTGTCATCGAGATTGTCTTGTTTTTAGTTTTAACTTGTAAGAGTTTGTGAGATTTTTAGTATGATAAGAATGGAATCGGTATTTAATACATGAAGACTGAAATACTAGTTGAAATACGGTTCCTGGACATGTTATTGTGAAATTGGATCATTAAAGTTGTGATTCTTTGATGTACTGAACTCATAACTGAAGTTGGATGCTGTTAAAGGTAAAAGAATGTCATTTTAATTGCCGATGCGTTGTATGTGGAAGACTTCTGAAATACTACGTGAGACGGTTAATGTTCTTAGAATCCTTGTTTTAGAGAAGCTTTAAGAGCTAAACTTTTTGATAATGACTTCTCGGTTTTTGATATAGAAAAGAAAAACTACAGTAAAAAAAGACTTCTTGGAATTCTAAACTCGAATGAAATTCAATGAATCCAACGTTCAATATCTCCAATACGGTGAATAGAACTCCCAGGGATCAAATTGGTAGCCTTTTGAGTTGATGGGCAATGAGTATATATATAGGATAAACATCAAAGGGATAAGCAAGCTGTTTTAACTCATCAGCAGTACAATTTTCTACAAAAAGATCAGGAATGGGTATTCCATCCGAAATCCTTGGGAAAATATGTGCTTATAACATTGAAATTGGCGGTGTGAAGGTGAAGGCAAGTCTAGTGAGGCGGGGCGACTTGTTGCATGAAGGTTTATCAGAATTAAAGTCTCTGGTAGACAGTAATATGCCCCTTGTGGGTGTTGATTTCAAACAAGTTAAAGATAAAAACTTAAAATCCCCGGCTTGGCGTGCTTCTGCTGTATGTCATTCAACTGTGTTGCATCCGCTACGACTTTCTAGATAGGCTTGAGAGTTTTCTAAACAGTACGAGGATCTGTTTCGTGGGTTTCAAAGTCCAGGAGTGTTTAGACGAGACAATGGCAAGTATGCAGTCCTTTGGTTTCAAAGGTTTTTTCGGCTATAAGAGAACTGAAATCCGGGATATGGCTGCTATGGGTTCTGAAGGATCCATCAATACTGAAATGTGGTGATCTTGCGAAAGTGGCGAGTAAAATTGGATTTGAGATGAAAGAAGTTGATCAGAGGAATGAACCCGCTGATTGGGAAGCCCTTGTTTTCTCATGATGTTTACAATTGCTATCATATGGGGAAGAAGCTGCTTAGTTCACTCTAGCTACCTTTCTGTATTATCAGGAAAATAAAGTTGTCTATTGCGTACTCCCGGTTTTCATATTTCAGTTAAAGAATAAAAGAATGCAGATTATGAGGTTACTCTTCCCGGCTTTGGATTTTATCTGATTTTAAGAGTCGATGATGAGTAGATAATTCACATTTACTCTTTCCGCGACTCGAATAGTATGTAATATGTATATATTCTTTTACATTTGGTATCAACAAGCATCAAAAGAAATCTTTGGTCCTCAAAAGGACATGAGAAAAGAATTAAATGATCAATGAGATGAAAAAAAGTGAAGGCAACAGCAAACTGGTGATCTCCATTCCTGCAACAATCACAAATTCAAAAAGGTTTAGAAATGTCGGCTAACGATATGATCGGAAATGGTAAATGACACCATAAATTAATTTGCTGTTCTCCACCTCTTTGAGCTGATACTGGCTTTGGAATTTCTGGAAGAGTTGCAGCAGCTGCAAATGGCATGGTAGTTTTTGTTATGGAAGAGAGTAAAAGAAAAGCACAGAAGAAGACAAATGCAGTTAACATACTGGAGGTGCTTTTATTGCAGGTAGAGTTGGAGACAATCAGACTAGATGACCAAGGCGCAGCTGAATTTTCTTCGAGTTTGCAACGGAAACCGATTCCTGAACTTTCATCAAATATGACATCTGAAGGCGTGCTAGGCAATAAGCAACCAGATTCTAGGGAAAGCAAAGATAATGTGCTTAAGATTAATGGCCAATATTAACTGTCAATGATGAAGGACACCAAATGCACTTTGAATGGTTAATTTACCTTTTGTATCCACTGGCAGAAGCAATGTGTATTTCAGCCGATTGCATCATCACGAACCATGTATCGAGGGGCGAATATGTGTCAATTTAAAACACCAAAAACAAAAATTAAGAAACGTTTAGGGTAGAAAGTCAATGTAATTACCTTGAATTGAGAAGTCCTTCAGATGGATTCGGCAAAGGTTGTAAATGTTGGTGGATATGTTAGCTTTCTGCAATCTCATGCTGAGTGAGGCAGCACAGTTTAATGCTTGTGAATCAGTGATAAAGCTCTGCTCCTGTAAGGGAGACATGTAACTTTCCATGGCATTGCAGCAAGATGTCTGATTTATCGCCGTTTGAGTTTGACATTCTTTCGAAATTTGGTTAATATCAGGAAGTACCAGGGGACAGCCTGAACGTATAAAAATGGCCAGCGGTTTTCACTTGAGATGGATGATCTATGTAATGTTCATAAAACAAATTAATAGATGGTTCTTTTTCAATGTACCTTCATTTAAGGTGCAGCTAGAGAGTGTTCTAAGAACTCTATTTGCTGCAGGAGGATCAAGCTTACTTGCAAGCCATCTAAGCACAATATTTGTACAGTCGCGGAGAACAACTGAGTCTTTAGGGAGGATTGGATTGTTTGTCGAAGTGGTCCTACTACTGCTCGAGGCAAGCCTAGCAGTTGCAGCTGATATGGAATTCTGGCAATTTCTACTGCAGCATTCGTTAGCAGTATCAAGTTGACCACAAGCGGCGACAAGTTCAGATGTAGCGAGAATTCTGTCAACTTCGTTAGCATCAATTACCAGGCAAGAAGCCCCGGTAAGATTGCTTTGAGTTATAGAGCATATCTTTTGAAGATTCTCATCTGCACCTTGACTGATGAGGATCTTGTCAACATCTGAAATGCAATGGCTGGCATGAGTTTCGTTCATTGAGAGCATTCCAGTGTATTTGCTTGATTGTCCCAAGAGAATTGCGAAGGTCGCGTCATATTGAGGGCAACAAACTGCATTAGCAAGATACGGAGCTAGGGAGGACCAGCAATCAGTTGCTGTTACTTTTAGTATGCTTTCTGCCGCGGAAAAATTGAACGCGCACTGTCCTGAAGAAAAAAAACACAGATTCTTGTCTTACTGATAATACTCGCACTCTACCTAAACAAATACGATAAATCACATCATATAGAATTCAAAAGTTTGATGAAAACAAAAGATTACTAACAGCCTAATACCTGTCCCTTGACATGGAAAATTTCAATAAGCATAGGACTCAGTTGTAAACTATGGCTGGCAATGTTGCAAACTAAGGGAAAGGCGGTGTTTTACATACCTGATAATGTGGGAACGCTCTTGTACACAAAAGGCAATAACATGGGTGAAGGTGCCTGTGCTTGAGAAGAAGCCGAATAATTTGTGGTGTTTGTTGAGTCAGAACCAAATATATTTCCACCCGGACTGCTGATAGACAGGGGCAAACCTGCAGCAGAAATGCACGAGTTAACACAAAAGTTGGCGAAGCTGATCAGAGGGATCAATGACATTGTTTTGGCGCCTGTGCTAAATTTGGTTTCGATCAAAAACTACACCAATAAACTCGTATGCTTAACTGTACTGAATCAGCAACAGAGTAATCAGACGAAAAAGACATCCCATTGCTTTCTTTTTCTTCTTCTTCTGGGATTTATCCAAAGTGAATTAGTATTTCAAAGATGGGAAAAAAAAACCCAACTCAAAGAGCCTCATTTTTATTATACACTGAATCAAAAACATGTATTAAGTGCTATTTTTGGGGTGTGTTTCTTTTGCAGTTAAAGTTTCCTCATCATTGTGCAGCTAATATATCACGAGCAAATCACTTGAAGAACAAGTTTGGTCCAATGAAAGATGAAACTCATGCATGTGAATTATTATTCTCTGATTGCTTTAGGCATAATATAAGCCGGTATTTCCTCTGTATTTGTTGACTTGCAAAGTTTTCAACGCTGTTATGATTACAGCACACAATGTTTAGTTTTGTTCTCAGGAAGCTTACATTTTCATGTGACATTGCTTGTATCTTTCCTCATATTCCTTTGCCCACTCATAACAAATGACACAAATTTGTTTTCTAAGATACTGTTAGACACAGAATATGACTGTTTGATTTCGATGTACAATGTACTCCCACACACAAATTACTTCAACATTTACCATTCATCGGGAATACACTTCTGAAGATTACCTAAATTAATAACTATTAACGCTTGTTAATACTATAATCATGAATCTTATTATAACTTCCTTCACCTTGCCCACGTCATAACTCATGATAATGAATTTTGAAACACGGCTACTACTATTGCAAGATGAAAGAATTATAGAATATAAAAAGTCAAACCAGAATTAAGAGAGAACAGGTTATGGTTTTATAAACATTTGAAGCGTTTGAGTTCATTGCAGCAAAATACTTTTTAAGAAAGTTGGGTAGTTTCACAACTCAATTCGAAACCATAACACAACAAAACAACAACATCAGGAGAGGTTGCCCATCATTTGCTTAAGTGTTAAACAGGAATCTCAAATCCGCTTCGCTCAATTTCGCTAGAGCATCTGAAGAGCCACCAATGGTCCTGCAAAAGATTTGAAGGGCCCGAAATAAATGAGACCCCATATCAGTTTTGCATTCTGCAGAATACGAAAACCAATTATTCTAATACTTCAAAAGTTTGTGTGAAGATTGATACCGACCCTTCAAAGACCAGTTCCTTCTTTTCCTGCAACTTCAAGATTCTTTCCTCAACTGTATCCTTGATAACAAATCTCACAATTCTACAAGCATCAAGGTCAAACATCATCAATCTCAGATCAAGGAGTAACATACTGACCGTGGATTACAAGGGACAAAAAAGTACAAACGGGAAAATGACCTGATTGGCTTATACTGTCCTATTCGATGTATTCGGTCTTGGGCTTGCCTTTCAACAGCAGGATTCCACCAGGGATCCATCAAAAACACCTATTCAAAGTGCAAATTCATCAAGTTCAGTTATGACTTAAAAAAAAAAAAGGAAATGTGTCCCTTACAAATTATAGTTTCACCAAAAGGTAAATTACACTAGGAAGACAATTTCTTTAAGCTCTCGATAATTAACTCAATTCATGTGTGCAGTCTTGCCATGTCTGTTTTAGCAGCCAGATCCTCAATCCATGTAAAAATTATAGGAACTTCTTATCATATTTCAAGGCCCTGGGTTCATCTATCAGCAGCAGAACTTAATTTGCTGCATTTAGAATACTCAGTTTTGCTTTCTGTTCTTTTTTTTCCCTCTTGTTTTTCGAATGAATATGTCGTCCTTTTTAGTGTTTGCTTCTTAAGTGTACAAACAAATCTTTACTCCCAGAACAATAAAATGTACAACCTTCTTTGAAATAAACAGGAGATTTCAAATTAGAAACAATAAAGAAAATCTCTTACATGAGAAGCAACAGTAAGATTGAGAGCAACGCCTCCAGCTTTCAAACTCATCAGAAAAATTCTGCAATCAGGATCATCAGTGAATCTCTTTATAGCAGCATCTCTAGCATTCATCGTCATTGATCCCACTAACTGAACACAATCAACTCCAGACTACAAAAGGTATTTTGCTCATTAGAATTCACTATACAGAATATATAAATGACGATCTGGAATGCACCAAAGAGTCATACCTTCTGAAGCGAGTAGTGAATCAGATCCAAAAACGAAGTGTATTGGCTGAAAACAATTCCTTTTGCCGAACCATCCCTTTCAACCATAAATCTAATTTCCTCCCTCTGACATCAATAAGTGAGTTGAAGTAAATAGTGAGGCAATTAAATACAAGAAAAATCAGGCGGCCTGACCATAACAAGAATTCCTTATCGCTCACTCATTTGGGATAATTCAAGAACCACCAAATCACTTCAAAGCAAATACTGATGTCTACATTCAAGTTTTTTCTTAAAAGAACTTCACCAGACCATGACAAATATAGGCATCCCAGCTTTAAAACCAGCTATATATGCATCTTCCATGAACACAAGTCTAATTAAACACTCGGCAGTAAGCAATGACAAAGTCCATCCGAAACAAGCAAACCCCATTAAATCCAGAATAAGGCCAAAAGAATAAAGGAAAGAAAGTTGTTTTGAAAGAGGGAAGAGGATACAGACATGTGATGGAAGATAATGATACTTACCAAAGCCTCTATTTTTGTGCTACTTTGGAAATTGTCCAGCCGAATTCTATTAAGAATGCTTGAGGGCCTAAATCCTTTAACACTCGATTTAGCCATTTGGTCGACACTGTCTTTGTTGGCTGTGAAGTCCACCGTAAGCGGCTTTGCACAAGTTGGACATGATACTTGTCCCATGCTGGCAGAGAAATCAATTAAACAGGACTTGCAAAATACATGAGAGCAAGACGTCACCTGAAAAGATAAGAACACAAGTCTTTAAAAGTTATTTTGGAAGACCATCATATCAAGCACAAGGAAAAAAAAATAGCCATCATCAAGCAGAGTGTTGTTCAAAGGGAGATGGAGTTCCTAGATCAAAAAAAACAACACTATCCCTTCAAACCGCGTAAAGATAGGGATATCAAGGGCTCATACTTAATAATTTAAAATTAGTCCTATGTTTTAGTTGTTCACAAGTTCTGATGGTAATATAGGCTCGATGAGGTAAATTACTGATAAACTCGTACACAACTCTTGACCCCACTCACGAACCATTAACTAACAAATAAAATCATGCACACAATACGAAAAGGAAATAGAAATTGATGTTTACATTACAGAGCCAGATAACACATGTTTCAGAACTTCCAAGGAAATATAAAGTTGAAGAAGAATCTTGTTATCAAAAACTGGTTCAAATTAAGTAAGGCTATCACTACGACTCTCAAGTTCAAAGTATCCAACTTGCCTGACATTCGAATAATCATTTATGAGTTTTACAACAACCATATTCATGTACATGTAATTAATTTGAAGGTACCCCCAAAGTTCTAGTTACTTCAGTGTCATCATGACATGAAGAAAAATAATAGGCAGGAAAATGTACGAAGTTTGAATATGAATGGAAGGGTGAAAAAAGAAGACAAAAAATACAGCACCAACCACAGCTTCTTCTGCATTCTCATGGCATAACCCGCACTCTTGAACATTGCCCTCAGCTACTCCCTCACGTTTTGCAATAGAAGCATTTGAATATACCACAAGGTAAGGATGATCAACAGCCTGAATATGAAGAGAAATCAAGGAGACATCAAAACAAGGATACTTTTTAAAATCACCTACATGACTAAATGTAGAATAACTACAGATTTCTTTTAACAAAACAGAGCACAAAGTGAGCTCAAGCATCGCTACTCATACGCCCAAGGACACATACAAAGACCTCCAGAACCACATGTGCATTTCATAATTTCGTGAAAAATATGTAAGCACTATCTCATTCATGATACCCATGAAGTAACTACCAAGAGAAGTGTATGCAGAATTACGCAACATCAACATGGACATTCACAACCACCTAAATTGAGAAATAATAGCCAGAAATGCCAACACATCAACAGGCGACGACAAAGCCAGCTTATAAGTTGAACAGTATGAAACAGAAAAATTTGCGAGCATATGCTCAGGAAAATGCAAAAAACTAGTAACATACTGGGCAAGTTACTGGAGATCAAATGCCATATCAGAGCATAATACAAATTAGTATCAGAATAACGCTAAACCTGTCGCAGGCGAGTGAGGAGATCGAATATGTGCGCGTAGTTATTCATGATGGTGTTCTGCTCAATGTATCTGCATATAGGAAAGGAGCTAGGTGTAAAACATAACTGTAAACCGAAGAAATATCCCTTGAACACATGGTTTACCATATCAATATCAATTAAAAACTTCAAATAACATCTAGATCACCAATGTACTATGAAGAACTGAATCCGCTTAGGAATGAATGTTATGTTCTCTGCATATATACTGAATGAAAAGAAGCATTGTAAAACCTACGTATTAAATTGTGACCGACTTTCGTTATAAAGTGACGTATAATAGTCTTCTTCTTTAAGGTCCAGAGTATCTCGTCTTAGAGTAACCTGAGTAGAAGACGGAGAAATTCAATTTATGATATGAAGAGGTAAAAGCTAACATAGATCTGAAGAAATTACAAGAAATAACATATTGCCATAGACACTCACTATGCGAGGAGGAAGTGCAAGATCAGCAGCCCTGCCCTTTTTTGTTCTCCTTAGCACTATGCCTTTCAGAATCTTCTGTGTAAGCAACAGCATGGCTCTTTTCCCATATCCATAGTTTCCATAGTTTTTAATTGGAGAAGCCACATACTGAAAGGAAGATTATTCATAACAACCCAACTTCAGTGAATGATGAAGCTGAATTCCAGTATGTATGGAGGGGAGGGGAGGGAGGGAGGGAGGGAGGGGGGGAGAGAGAGAGAGAGAGAGGATTATTTGAATTTGGAACTTACTTTGTTCCACCAGCAAAAGTGTCGAACTGATTTATGGGGGCACTCTGGACAATCGCCTGTAGAACTGCAAGTCCAAAAATAACTTGAAATATACTTCCAAAAGTCCAAAACAAAATTAATAAAAGGTGCTAAAAAAACACCACTGGGGCTGTGATACCTCCACTGCAACAAATTCAGGAGTGGTAAAATGAATAATATTCACAATCATGGAGGACATATGGATTTCACTCTAAAGATGCTAAAATGAACATGCATTAGTTATATCGGGATACTGGAAGACAATTTGTAAACTTAAAGTTACTCTATCATTTACAACACCCTTTCACAACAATAGGATAGGTAAGGATTACCCTAAATATCAAAGCCTTCCAGACAGTAGATAACACGTCCATAATATTTGTATATCAAGGAGCAAATGTTAAAAGTGCAGCCCACAGAATTCCAATAATTATGCTGTGCCAACTCAAGCTGTGTAGCATGCCTTTTTGGGACTAAATTAACGTTTTTATCAACACTTGAAGAAAATAGTACATGAATAATATCATATTGTAGATCAATATGCTTTAAAACATCAAAAAAATCCTAATCTGAGAGTTAAAAAAGGCCAAAGTATACCTATAATCAAGGGTTCTGCAATCACAGTCTTTGCAAAAGTAAAAGGAATAAGGACTTATTCCCAGAAAGCGTACCTGCGCATCAGAACAAAAAGGATATTAATAACACAGCATTCAACACAACTACAAATGACTCTACTTTCAAGCACAATAACTTATTTATTCACAATATCACTTACAAGGGAGTAAAGTTCACCAACACGATTCTGGAGTGGAGTGCCACTGAGGGCCCATTTGTAAGAAGATTTTAAAGCAAAAATAGCTCTCGTTGTATTACATTGCCGATCTTTGATGTAGTGAGCCTTTCAACAAAAGAAAACAAGCATTGAAAAGATAAACCAAAGAAAAAATGACTGAATGATGGATGAACAGACTAGCACAGTAATCTGAAAACACATACAAGAATCAAATGCAAATACAACTTAGTAATGTGGTGCATTAGAGGATTAAAACGAACAGACACCAATACGAAAAGGAAACATAAGTATCATACATCTACCAAAGGTAAAACAGTACATAGGAAATAAAGGTCAGGCCAGATAAAACAAAACAAAAACGTAGCAAGACATTTCAGTTAGCACCAAAAAAAACTTTTTTAAAAAAAAGAAAGAATGCATAAGGGAGAGTATAATCCCCAAAACTTAACAACTCGATGCTAATACAACATAAACCAGGAAAGGCAGGCTTAAAAGTCCTTGGATGATTTGCACCAATAAATCATTAAAGAACTCTAGGTATTAAACCAGTAAAACAAAACAGAAACATGCAAGTAGTATCTCAAAAGAAACGGAGAAGAAATGTCTGAAAAGTGCTCTATGTGCAAGCTGTGAAATTCAAGCATTTCCCAGTGTCAATGGGATGATACAGGTCGAGGCAGTTAAACAAGCACCATGTAAAAGGTAGGCCATACATTTGTTAAGTAAGATAACAAATGGGATTCTTCAAAAGCCCCACAAGCTACAAATTCTCACATTATCTAATAAATATAGATTCTAAATGGTCCTGCAAAGAGAGGTTCAATGCAATGGATAGTATTACAAGAACAAGAGCAACCTTGAATCAACATTTCGATTCACTTCTGATGTAAGAGGCTCAAATCAGGTACAAAACAAAGATATCTTATCAATAAGTTTCGACATCAAAACTACGTTACTCCATGTCCAGACATGACACAGTAATTAGCACAAACAAACAGAGGAAATAACTGACCTCGTCTAAGATTATGCGATCCCAATGCACAGAATGAAGGATAGATTTCTGTGAGGATGATGCCTCTCCCAGTTCAACAGGAGCACTTCCTGCTGCCATATTAGCAGCGGAGGTGGCGGAGATGTTTCCACCCCTCTTACGTCCTCTCCTACGTGTTTCACCATCTGAATAGGGTTCATCTAATCCCAGCTCTAAGTTCAGCTTTGGTGTTGATTTTTTAAGTTTTGAATTTTTCCTGTGTTGTTTGGACTGCTTCTCGGTCCTAACCGCATCAGGACCACAAAAATACCTCAGGTGACTAGCCATCTTTTTAGCATGAAGCAACTTTCCACACCACTGGCATTTGTCTTTTGGTGGCATTACATATTTACGAAACTCAGACTCTATTATGGAATAAGTAGTTATGACAAAATCGTATTCAGCAAATTGGTCAACACTCCTGTCCCGGTTGGATCCATGATATACCAGTACCTTGTTGCTTCCTTTAGAGGTGAAACGATCAATTTCATTCACCCATTGAATCACAGCCACCACTGGACAGATTACAAGGGTGGCTTTTACAGCTGTCACTGCTGTGGAGGAACTGGGAGCAGATAAATCAATGTTGTGTTCTCCAATTGCTTGCCTGATCTCCTGTTTGGCAAGAACAAGTGCAATAGCCTGAACTGTTTTCCCCATTCCCATTTCATCAGCCAGTATGCCACCTCTGGAAGCAGATTCTTCTTGTTTCAATGACCAAGCTAGCCACTCTTTCTGGTATCTAAGCAGGGGCATGATCAAATTGGCTGGCTGCTCAACGGTTTCGGCCAAGACTTCATTCTGATTATTTAGTAGGACCTCGTTAGCTTCATTTTCATCAATCCATTTCTCAATTTCTTCTTCCAATGCTTGCCACACCAGTGTTGGCTTGTGTGATCTCTTCATTTTTGGCTTTTTACTTTCAGCCTTGTCAACTTCTTCTTCCTTGATCTGATCACCTGTCTTTTTTTTTCTCCCTCCAGAAATCACTCTCTTCCTCTTTGACACTTTCTCTACAATATCATCATCGATGAACTCAACCTTCGATGATGGACCAAGATTAAAGTCTGGTAAACTGCTGTCTTCACTGTCATCTAGTATCACAGGAACTGCATCTGCACGGTAAAACAGTAGAATAAGGGTAAAAAGATCAGCAGCTATCAACTAGCCATCAAGACACCTCCTTTTCAGAAAGTAACATCCCAGTAAAAGAAAGAAATATAGTTCACAATAATGGCGCAACAAACTGACAATAGCTTGATACCAAACTTGGTTTAGCCCAAAAGAAGTCCCAATTTCCCTGAAATGAGACAACTCACCACGAGCAGTTCACATAGTACTCACACTTGTCGTTCAATGAAGTTTCATCTGTCTCTATCGGAATCAACGACATAGAGATAAGGATATACAAAAAATTTCAAATACAGATACACTACCGACATAGAGATAAAGAAATCAGATTTCAACATTCTCTGTAGGCAGACACGTTTTATGGGATGCACTTTCGGCATCGGCGAAATAATTAATGAAAAATTCATAACCATGTTGACAAATTTTGCAGATAAATTTGGACATAAATTGATGTAATCTGTGGTGTAAACTACAGATACGTGTAACTTATGAACATTATGTACGGCTAAACAAATTTGCCAAGCTTTTTCTTGCATCCAATCAATGTAAAAGAACTTTACACTGACTTATTACTGGGCCACTACCTCATAAGTTGCCAGTCCATTTTATGACATTACTAATGTGGCTCAAAACGACATACGCTCAAAATATTGTCTTGTTATGCTAGCAGAACCGTTACAAAAGTTTAATAGCCTACCGTTTCAGCCCATAACCCAAAATATGGGAAAAAACCCCCCCAACTTGATTACATGGATACATCACAACTTCATTCAAAAAGATAATAAGAAAAAAAAATACAGATACTCCTTTGCATATTTGATTCCATTCCGACTCAAGCCAATAAACAAGAAACAAAATCCTCTTTTCATACTCTCTCCAACCTAGGAAGAACAAAACCCCCAGTAGACACAGTAATCCAAAAAGACATACTGTTGATTTCAAGTCTTTCCAACCTGAGGATAAATATAGCCTTTAGACACCGTTATCCACTATGAAGCCCACATTCACTCATAAGCCCAAACTCTCACTGATACAGAATTACAACCATACTGACATAACATAAACAAAAGAGTAGCATGAATGAAAGCAGATCTCCTTGAAATAATATCACAACAACATCAGCACAAATTCATGAAATAGCTAAAAGACAGAGATAACTTAAGTAACCATATATAAACTACTGGTAGCACCATACTAAGAATGAGAAATTTCCCTCCCATAGAATGAGATAACGTAAAACTTTAAATTTTTTTTTGGTAAAAAAAGAGTTAGTTTTGCGAGGATGTATACCTTCATCACTGACCCCTACATAGTCAGAGTCGGAGAAGTCACTGCTTGAATCATCATCGTCTGAGCTCGGTAATTCAATCACATCTTCTCCTGCATCTATACCATATCAAACATCCAAAAATCCCTCAAGGAAAAGACATGTCAAACTCATTCCTGCAAACATGGACTATAGAAATCCTCCCTTTACACAACCAAAAAAAAGCTTCCTCCAAAAAATCCATCAAACCCGATGAAAATTCCAAGAACCCAGATAAGAAAAAAGGCAAAAGAAGACATCAAACAGTAATTCAACAGAAGTTGGTGCAAACATTACACGATCATACCTTTTGAAGACCGAGAACGAAGCTTCATTTTTCCTCCAGTACAGCCCCTTTTTGATCAAAAACAAACAACCCCCAAAAGAGGGGATTAGGGTTTTGTTAAGAAGCTCCAATTCTAAGGATTGATTGATTGATGATTTTGTCCGGAATGGCTTCCAGAAGAAGGAGAAGAAGAGGGGTAATCACACTTCAAAAGTCGTGTCGTTTGTGGTTTTTCAATGTGAGAGTGTAAACTAAAAACTGTTAAATAAGGTTTTCGAGTGTGGACTGAGTGGACTGAGTGGACTTAGGCCGGGGACCCGAGTGAGGACTCAGAAATTTCCGCGGCGGGAAAGTTAACTAATCTATATATTACGTACAGACCACTGAACTTTCATAACCATATACTTTTGGCCTTTCATATTTTATTAAATTAACAATTCATCGTTTCCAAGTTTTAAAGTAAACTCACTTAGGTTTACATTATTGATTAATACGTAATTCACATATGTTAGCATCTAACATAAGATTAAAACAGTGACTCTCAATGACGTTTACTAAGTGCAAAATGATTCAGAGTCCAGACTCCAAATACATGTATTTTCTTCGGATGACCCGATAAATTTTGATCATTTAGACACAAGCACAACCACTAAATTGACTTATGTATATATTTGATGATAAAGTATTTCTCGATTGAATTACTCTCTTCAATCAAAAGGATGTTATAATTTTTATTTTTTTTTTCATTTAACCGGCTAAGGTTTCTTTTGAAGAAAATGAATACTAAGATAACCATTTTATTTCACCACTAATAATCCCGTGTGAGAGCCGCATTATTAATCTTCCCATTAGAAAAGTAATTCACAACTAAATTTTAGAAAAAGGGCCAAAAGTTGAGTTCGTGATTTACAAGTGAACATTTTAAAAATAATAAATTTACCAATTGCCAACAAACTACTGACAGTGTCTACACAATTACAAAATTTCAGGGCCTTCAAAGAAATTACCCTAATTTATATGATATGATAAATAAAAGGTAGGGTCTAAGTTTACCAAAAAAGGGAATAAAAGTAATACAATCCCAATTAAATGGTAGCAAAATTATTATTCATGTTGAATATAATTAATTAATGTTCATGATAATCGAAATAAAGTTTTTAAAACTAGAGGTTCCATTTTCTATAAGGTTAAGTTTGTTGTTCTCATTATCCAACAAAAAAAAAAAACCAAAGTTTGTTGTTCTACGAGTTGTGCTAAAGATTTTCTTGTAAATAACAATCTGCATTATCAATTTCCCGCTTCCATTTGTTAAAAAAATGCAAGAATATGATCCTCAAGAACAATAGATACAAATTAGAACATAAGAATAGCCCAAGCAGAGCTCTAGCAGTAGCATTTTGTCTCTCAATTTAGTAGTAGTAGCTAAAAACAACAAAACCAGTCACCCCTTCGTGACTATGTTTTGTCAGATGAGCATCGTTCACTTGTGGAAAGGCCGTGTTCGGCGCCCAGCTGCTCGCCCGCACAGGAGAGCATTCTTTGGAATGGGTAACTCGTCTCTCCATGAGTTTGCAGGCGAATAAACACGGAGATAGAATTGTTGACCTAAGTATTGTCGAGCCCAGTTCTCGGATCTAATGTTCCACATCCCGACATTGTCCAAAGGCATGAAAAGGGCAGTCCATGACCTTGGATAAACCTGCACATGAGTTCATCCCACATTGTGAAATAAAAGCTCAGTTATCATGGTTGTTAAGATAAATCCATAGCAATGAGGTCAAGTTTATTACCTGAACAGTGCAACGAGAAATTCCATCTCTTAAGTTGTAAGATAATCTGCTAGCTGGTGACCACTGCCCACCATCCATCCTGCGCAAAAAACATACTTTCAGCAATTTTCTTCACACGAGGATCAGTAACTGTTAGGTCATTTGATGAAGAAAGATAACAAGGCAAATTTCTTACCCCACGATAAACAATATGTGGCCATCAACGTGCCAAGATTGTACCGTGTCTTCTGGGTTCTCAAAAACCACCTCAAAATAGGATCTAAAGTTAGCAGCCATGACTGCTGTCTGGAGGTAACCACCTGAACCGGTAGGATTATCAGGCATACTACCAAGAGTGAACACCCCAGGGATGTTGTAGTAGTCTGCAAGCTTGAGAGGTGTATCAGCTGGGATAAATGACACACTATTGACTGCATACCTCTGCTTGCCATTGATGATGGGAGCAGAGCTTGCCAATCTAATTGTACGTGTTGCATTCACCATTCCATAATGGTAAGATCCTTGAGGATTTGGTCTTGGTCCACTTGCAGTTAAGTTTTGCCTGCTCAGCAAAAGCATTTCACTATTAGGGTACATTTTACGATCGAGAACTACAGGGGAAACTGCAACTAGATTTCGGAATCGGGCAAGCCATGAGATATATGCAAATTCAGACCACTAGAAGCACGAACAATTAGTGCAACAATTAAGTATAAGATTCAAGCAATCATATGAAAATAAGCAGATAGGTTAAATAGCCTCAATGCACCAACGCTCCATCAAGATCTTAAGCTATTGTATCTGACAAAAGAGTGAGCAACACTAGATCCAGAAATGTGCACTAAAAAACATGTATGTCTGGATACCCATACAGAGGAGATACATTTGAAACCAAACCTGATGGATCGAGCCTGATTGAGTGACCATTCAATCTCAGTTGGCCCGCCGGGGAGAGGGCCAGAGAAACTTCCTGCTGAATTGCTGTAATGAAGAGTTGATGTTGCTGAAAGCACTTGAGAGGTAAAGCGAGTGGAAAATATGATGGAGTAGTCAAATGCAGGTTGATCAGCCGTGACCAAAACAGAACAAGATTGCCCCAAGTGGAGGTCAAAGGAATCATATGTATTTTGCAATGTGTGGGTTCCTTCAACCTCAACCAACAGCATCTTGTGCCCCTGAAATCTGAAATTAATGGACGTCGCCACCCCAACATTTGATATTCTGAACCTATACGTCTTTCCTAAAGAATGCAGCAGTTGAATCCCAGTCAGATGAATAGAAAATGATGATAAATAATTTGAAGCAAAATAAAGATATCATTGTCTCACTACCTTGATCAACAGTGTATGTGAAACCATTAGAACCGCGACCATTTATCACAAGGCCATCGGGAAAAGGAAGGTCACTTCCACCATCTAAAATTGCTTTTAGATCCTGAATTTGTTGAGAATATTAACATCATGCAGTTTATAAACTTCAGTCAGTTAAAAGATCATATGTATCTGCCAAAGTCACAAGCAACAGTATTTGATTGGTAGTACTCTATACAAAAAGGTCTTACTGTGTGATTTTTCTTGAACCAATCACCAACCAAGATGGTGAAATCAGCAGCAGGAGGTGGGAAGGGAACAGGAATCACGGAACGGCTTAATACTGTGATGCCTCCATATCCTCCAGCAGCCTTGTGGAAGGCAAGAGAAGGGAAGTAGAAGAAACTACCAATCTGATCCTTGACTTGAAGAATGTATGTAAAGTTCTGTCCTGGAGGGATAGGACAATTGGTCCCGTAGACTCCATCTTGCCACGAATTCCTTCTTTGCTGCACACCATCCCTACAAAATTGTTCGAATGAATTCAAGACCTCCATTTTTTCCAAGACCAAAAGATCAATGAATCTCTAAGGAACCATGAGTTAAAACCTACCTTAGCATGAAAGACTGTTTAGAATCAATCAATAGACCATCTTTGTTTTTATGAGAACCAACTGCATATATCTCAACTCTTTTATCCCTAATACTAACACATTAGATTCATGCTTCCATTAGGTCTCAGATGTTATAGAAACAGTACAAAATTGGTAAAAGTTGGGACTTCAGGTGAAGATTGAGGGGTTTTTGTCCTTCAGCAGCATCTAGACTCCAAGATACTTGGTCTCTTACTTATTAAGAAATTAATTTATTGGTCTAAGTAAAATAATTAATCTCAATAGAAGCATGACCATGAACATTTCCACCCTAGTTTAAGAAAACATTTAAATAACCCAAAAAAGATTGTCCAAGTTCCAAGCTCCAAAGAGACATGCTCTTTGATAAAGACAGGTAACAACTTCAATCAATCTGTCTTTTGTTTTATTTTCAAACTTAGCATTAATATCAAAGTTTTCCAACCACTCTCTGTTGGAAGAAATGCAAAATAGCATAAATTTAGGTGGCAGACTTCAAGCACAAGATAAGGACACTGTTTCCTCTAATTTTGCCGCAAATTCTGTTGGAACCCAAAATACAAAACCCGCAGCAGAGTCCAGGTAGAATTAACACCTTCCCAACAGTATTTTGAATGGAACGATCACTTAATTGGTTTCACAAACTAAAAGCCAAAACCAGCAAATGTCCAGTTCACAGTCTCTTTGAAGTTTGAATAATGAAAAATGAGTTTGATACATTGTTCAAATTGCAGGGGCAAAAGGCCCAACTATCCCATTCATAATCCATTTTTCGCAACTTCAAATGAAGTACTATGCAAAGAATACAGGGCCAATTAAAATCATATTAGTAGCTGACAGACTTCCATCCATTTGATAAAGAAATTTCATCCCTCTTTATTCACTTTCCAATCATAAAGCTGATTTGTGAACTAAAAACCACAGCCAATAAACAGGGGAAAAATGTACAGTTCTGTACATCCATGCATTGAACTTGCACCGACAGTATTGAACTATCCAGATTCACTACATTTCAAATTCAATCTGTGCTGTTGCAAACTTAATAACTAATGAAAGAAACAATCTGGGAAAAAGAACTAGATTCAAGCACAAGAAGGGGATCATATCACTAACCAAGACAACAGAAAAGGTTCATCCAAGCTGTTGAAAACACTGATAATCAGGTTCTCATTAGTCACTGACTCAATTCTTGGCCCCGGAAACTGCCCATTTATCAATATCCCCTGCACATGAAAACGCAAAACTAGGATACATCAAAAGAGAAAAACGAAAAGCTCTTCAATATTGATAATGGGGTTCAAGAAATAACATCAAAAACGAAATAAACGGGAACAAAAAAAAAAAAAGAAAACAATTGAAAAAAAAAGAAGAAGAAGCACCTGCTGTTTTACGCCAAGAGGATAGATGTCACCATAACTAACATTCCAAGTAAAAAACCGGTAAGCATCTTCTGCACTTGTGGTGCATAACACTGATAAAAGCACTAACAAAACCAACTTCATTACCCCCATTCTCGTTTTTCAAATCCCTCAAATCTCTGTATATCGGAAACAGCTTAACGAATGAAGCAAGAAAATCCAAGAAGGAAAAAAAAAACGCCTTCAATAGGATAATGTTTGGGGCGGGGGGTAAAATGAAATTCTAATCAAAAAATGAAGAAAAATCACGGCAAGATTGCTTTTTTCCTAATCTGCTACATTAATCTAAATGCAACTCAAAATGGGTTGTTTCTCAGAAAGGAAAAAAATTGGATCTTGATGTGGTAGTAGTAGTAAGAAGAGCACTGTGTGTTTATGCTGTGTGTGTGTGTGTTTGTTGAGAAAGAATAAATGTATGATGACTGACTGAGGTAGGACTTCAGTGTGACCGCGGTTTTCTTTTGTAAAGCGTGCTTACGCGCTTTAATTTATTTCAAATAGTGTTAATTTTAGATTTCTTGTTTATTTTATTTCGATTTCTTAATATAGGCAATTAGGCATCTTTCTGAAATTTTCCAGCTTTGTTCACGTTGTGATTCTGACGAAAATTTGGACCCTGTGGGACCATGTAACGAAGATTTTCTATTTTATAGAAGGAAAAAGAAACAAAATCAAATGGGGTACTGAAGTGACATAAAATTAGAAAAAATCAGATTGACCATGATAATGATGATATGGGTGCCTTCAATTTCCAATGTTTTTTTCCCCCCCTTGTTTTACGCTTCCCGATTGATTTGTCAAAACATTAATGTCAAATCTATCTAAATACAGATTCGGTGGAATGTTTCTTGTGCTCTTCCTTGTTTTATTGCTAATTACAATGAGACTTTTTGGGTTCAAATTGCGGGAAATGTAATCCCAAAATAAAGTCTCACGATCCATTGTTATAGATAGCAGTGTTGATTTATCAAGTTTGAGAATATTAGGATGCTAATATGTCAGTGAAAAACAAGTCCTTCTAACATAATGTTTAATATCATTGAGATTCACTAGATTGTTTAGGTCTTGTTTGGTCATAGAACTGAAGGAAATTTCGAAATGTTTGCATTATTTTCATTGTATAGAATAATATTATAATAACTTTGTAACGATCCGTTCTGACACTTTTGTGTTTAAACTGTAAAAAAACGTGATCGGACATCTGTTACAAATAAGAACACTATAGAGTAAAGTGATCTAAAAAATAGTAAAATACTACAACATAATTTGTTCAACATTAACATATGTAAGTGCAAATGGCGCATCAATTAAGTTTGGGTATGACTGAAGAGGGCAACATTAGCAAGGCAAACCTAATGTAACTCAAATTTAGGCAACAGTTTCCTATCTCTGCAAAACCGTATAAACTAATTAATGACGTCCATATAAGCTTATCAGTGACATAAGTTTATATCAAATTTTGACATCCAATAAAGACCTCTACATCATTTCATTTTTACCTCCTTACAAGCAGATAATAGTACTACCAATTCGGATACGATAAAAGAAAAAGTTATATGTTTCTTAAAACAACCAATTACTAGTAGAATTTTTGTTCACTAGGCCATTTGAATATTTTTCTCCCTTTTCAAAAAAAAAATATTTTTCTCCGAAAAGTATTTTTCTAGTATACTTTTCATCCTTATTGTTTTTAAAATGAAAAATTTGATCTAAAAGTTTTTGTCTTCATTTCGATTGTTGTTTTAATTTGTGTTTTGCGGTTTTGCATACTTGAGATATGTTTTAAGATTGATTTTAAAAATGCATTTGGACAATTTCACAGTAAAATTTTAATATTTATTATCCAAAACACAAAAACAAAACTACAACATTTTTTTAAATCTTTATTCTCTCTCATTTATACTGTGACAAACTAAAAAATATCACAAGATTCTGTTTGAAACTTCAAAATTTAACAAATAAAATATTTATGTATCTTTTATCCTACTTTTTTTTTTCTCCGCTGCCCACTACTGAGTTAGATACCTATTTTTGCCACTTTATCTCAAAAAATGTTAAAATTTGTGAAATAATAGTGTTAATAATAAAAAAAAAGTAAATAAAATCTGAAACTTATGTTGCTACAAAACCACTTGAGACCCCCCAAACTGCATATATAAGTGGTAAATAGGATACAAATTAAGATAATAAGATTTGACTTAGATAAATAGAGATAAATAAATATAGTGAAATTGAATAGATGGTAGTAGGGGGCCAAAGTTTTAAATTTGACTCTTTTGAAGGCCCAAATATAGGCCCACATATGATTCCATCTCAAAATAATTGGTGATAAGGAGAGTAGTACATATGGTTATATACTGGTTTCAAGAGTCTCTATCTATCCATGTGGGACAAGGTTATATTCTCAACACCTCCCTCTCAAGCCCGAAGGGGTTGGACAAATCGGATAAACTGCCGGATCAATGGTCTAGATATAACTGGGTAAGTAGAAGAAGTAGAAATAGAAGGCCCATATTTGGGTAAGTAGAAATAGAAGGCTCAAACGGGTAAGTAAATCAGACCCCGAATATAATTGCCGGGTCAGTCAAAACCTATCCCACAAGTCACACAAGTCCGCGGATAAAACTCGCTCTGATACCATCTTAAAAGCCCAAATATAGTATGCCCACATATGGTTCCACCTCAAATCTAATTGGTGATAACGGGAGTAGCACATGTGATTATATATTAGTTTCAAGAGTCTCTATCTATCCATATGGGACAAAGTTATATTCTCAACAGACTCAATTAGAAAAAAATGAAAATGAGTTTCGATCGTATATAGTGAGATCGACAAATTATGAAATTTCGGAAATAATAAGGAAAAGAAATAAAAAAGAACTTAGGGAATTTGTTGTTGTCACCAGGTCACTCCCTCGAGTGACTTTTCTCACTCTCTCGAGTGGCAGGCCTTCTCGAGTGGCAGGCCTGCCACTCTTAGTTGCTTCTATTCACTCCTTTGTGTTTATATCTAACTTTCTTCCTTACTATCCTATTTTCCATGGTTCATTTGCTGATCTTCTTCTTATATAGAGCTTGGAGGAGGTCACTTTTTACTATTTTAATCTTCACAAAATGAGCAACATGGTAAGTTGTCAACTTGACAAGCAAGTAGAAAGATTTGGCAAGTTGAGCAACTTAGCCACTTGAGCAAGTTGCTCAAGTTGGACAAGTTATCTCCATCTTCTTGTTGCCTTCCTCTTCAGCCACAAATTTAGCAATAATAAAATCAGCCTCCTTACTTTACATCTAACCTTCCAAAATTTGATTCTCGAGCTTTCCACTTGTGCGGCTCCTTCTTGGGTTACGTGCCATCAGCAAGCAGCAGCACTCGCCACTCTGACAAGTGACCCGGGTGACAACAATCTTCCAAAATCTTGCTTTTTCTTTATTCTTTAATCCGACAATTAACAGGAGCAGGGGCATTAAGCATCTGCATCAGCAGCATGCTTCTGTTCAATCATCACGTTCCTTTCTTCTGTCTCAGCTCCCGATTTAGCCTCCAATCCTTTGCTTTTTCCGGGGATTATCTGCAGCACCAATTATTGCCTCTAGCAACAACCATTCTTTAAATTCAATTAAAGGCAGAAGCAGTGGCAGTCAGCAAAGCAGCTACAACTTCCTTCTTTATATTCTCCCTGTTTCTCTTCTTCAACTTGCAGCAACAGCAACTTGCAATGGCGGCAGCAATTCTTTCCTTCAGCAGCAAGATTTCAGCTCCTCTTTTCTCATCTGATTGACAGAATTAGCAGCAGCAACAGTAGCAAAATAGCTGCTATTTCTTCTTCCTCCTTTGACTTCCTCTTGCAAGGGTCATCAACTTGTGATGATGCTGCAACCATTCTTACTTCATCAGCAAGGATTCATCCTCTTTCTCAGCTCCAATTGCTCCTTCTTGTCCCTGATTTCAAGCAGCTTCTAATTCGGTCTTTTTTCATGCTCTTTTGTGCAATTTGGCCCCAAATTATACTGATTTTCCAGATTGGCCCTTTGATCACCATGAAATGCAAAATCGACCCAAAAGTAAATTAATTCTACTTAATTTACATATAATCTTAAGTTAAAATGAGTAAGAAATGCCTGCTAAAAGGGGTGATTGAATGCTCGATTTTAATTATAGACTCCAGGAGCAGGTAGCTTTAGTAGTCTTTAGGCATTAAACAGACAAGTGATCTACATATGTCAGGATCAGACAATTTGATCAAGAGGCATACTCGAGTAGAGGACCTTTAGTATAATTTTATGCTCTTCCTTAGAGCAACCTCAATGCATTGAGGTAAATTGTAGTCCCGATATGTCCACATAAGCTTTACTTGACAGAGGAAGTAACATTGTATTTTTTCCCAATGGCAATTACTACAAATGGGAGTAAAATATTGAGGACAACACTGGCCCGCGTTGCAAGAGCTTTGGGAGTAAAACGTACCAGGACCCTATTTCTTTGCTCCCTTTTCAAACTTTTCAGGAGTAACAAAAGAGGCAATTAGTGTATAATAATACACTGTATGCAGTGGTAAAATAACAAGGACAGATTACTGTCCACTGCAGATACTCTTAGTAGACTTCTTTCTCGCAGTAATAATCTAAGTATTTCCTAAGCATCAATGGGAGTTGGGTCTTTGGGGGAAGGCGCAAGGATTGAATAAGGATTCGGTACTTTTGTTTAGAGGGTTCAACTCAATTTCTTACTCTCTGTCTCAGCTTTCCAACAATCTTGAGAATGGTATTCAGGAGTTCGTGTATTTTGTTGAAGCTTGACTTCCATTCTACTCCTCAGTCTCGAAATCATTCTTATTAAAAATGAAAATTCAAATTGGACAATAATTTCGAGACATAATTAATACTTGATTTCTGCTCTTTAAGAATCCAAATCGGAATTGACCATAATTGCCATTCTATAAGAAGATAAAGACCCAACCTTTTGGACCAACTACATTCTACAAACTACATCGTTTGTTTTTCCAAAAAAATTGTTGCAATTACAATGCCAATTTTAGATAAGGATCGAACGAAAGATCAAAGCTCAAAAAAGGATTAGGGAACCTGGACAATGCAAAAATGTTATCAATTACGATCGTCTGATCCAAGTTTTAGTATTTTCATATATCATTGATGCAGAAACAATGTGGTTGTGCTTTTCATTTATTCTGTAGGTAGCAATTTCAATGGCTGCAAGAACATGTTCCGCAATGCACCCAAACTATTTTTGAAAAATTGAGTCAATTACCATAGATTACTCATTCTTTATCCGTTGCACGACCCAATCAGTCAACTAATTTGCTAATTTGACAGGTGTTATTGTCTTATTGAGTTGTGCTTAACATGGTTACCGATGATAGAATTGTCTGCACTAAACTGATAAACTGTCACATAATTTTTAGAATGCAATGAAGTTAAAAAAAAAATTTAAGAAAAATAGGACAAATATAGTGAATGAATTTTTGGGACTTCCAT